AGCTGATCGTACAATTAGATGTATAGACCCAGCTATGAAGGTGATCGCCCTGCCACCATCAGCCTAATGTGTATGAACTAGCCCTGTGATCGCCCTCCGATCCATTAGCGGCCTGATGTGTATGAACTAGCCCAGTGATCGCCCTCCGATCATCAGCCTGATGTGTATGAACTAGCCCAGTGATCGCCCTCCGATCATCAGCCTGATGTGTATGAACTAGCCCAGTGATCGCCCTCCGATCATCACCCCTTTGTTCCAATGATGAGGAGATAAATTCGCTGTCCAATCATCGATTGGAGCACATACGTGGCCGACTGTTTGCTCTACAAAGTGTCTTTGATATGAAATGAGCGATCGTGGTTGGGAAAACCTGCCCGGACAAGTTTCTGCATACCGATTCCGCCCCGTCCCTGTGATGTCAGCAATGTCCCGCAGGCTGTCCCGATGACTGGGACTTGTCGGGGTGATGTCCCCGTGCCAATGGCACATGTCCATTAGACAAGTACCCTCGCAGCGATCTTTCCATTGCTGGCCTCATTGTTCCCGTCCGATCGCGTTTAATGCCTGCACTTTCCGGGACGAGGATCGGGCTAATGGACAGGTGGACACCTCGGCTAATGGGTAATTGTGAGGATCCATCATGGCAAGTGGAAGCAGCTCCGTCTGTACGATGTGTCTGCCTCCATCTCAGCCGTGAGTCCCACACATATTAAATATAGGCTTTTATTTCCTGGAGCCGGGGCTGCGAGCACAAGCCTTTTATTATTCCTATTAATCACGGAGAACGCTTCCAGCTGTCCCTGCAGGGCTCCGAGCGCTCCACACACAGCCCTCTGCTTTATCACCGCTTCTCCCAATCCTGCATTTTTGGCACTGGCCTGGTGCCCACCACAAAGCCTGCCCATGGCACTCGTCTTATTCCTCAACTGTACACCTAGATCTGACCTGCCATACTGCCCACCACAAAGCCTGCCCATGGCACTCATCTTATTCCTCAACTGTACACCTAGATCTGACCTGCCATATTGCAAACCCCAAAGCCTGCCTTTGCCACAGATGACATGCCATCTATTCCCGAGACTTGGACCTAGATCTGACCTGCCATATTGCACACCCCAAAGCATGCCTATGACCCAGATGACATGCCATCTATTCCCGAGACTTGGACCTAGATCTGACCTGCCATATTGCACACCCCAAAGCATGCCTATGACATGCCATCCATTCCCGAGACTTGCACCTAGCTCTGACCTCCTTCCACACACATCACTGCAAACCTCATGCCATCTATTCCTGTATCTGATCTCTCTCTATACGATACCCTATATAGATCAGTCCTCCATCCAGACACCATGCTGCCACCTCAGAACCTACTCATACCATACATAATTTGTATTGTTATAGTATGGCAAGCCATCCTATAGCTGATCTCCATCCACACAGCATGCTGCCACTCCAGAGCCTTCCCACAAATGTCTCGGACTTCCATCTGACCTCCATGCCATGCTGCACACCCCAGACCCTGACAAAAACAGAAGTCATTTACTCCTATACCTGCCCCCATCCACCTACCATACTGCACACCCAAAGCCTGCCTATGACACAGGGGACATGGAGTCTTGGACCTACAAGTTCCGACCCTCATTCACACAATCCCCCACATTGTGCCCATCACCTTGCTTGGCATTTCTTTGCAGCGCTGTAGCACCGCTTAGGGCAGGTGGGCCGCGGTGGGTAATTTAAGCAGAAAACAGTCATGCAAAATAAGTCTGTCAAGCTCAATTTACCGCTGTTCCTGACATTATTTTTCTCGTGTGCCGAGCTTATAAATCAGACGGATGCATAGAAAGCACGTATTTATGAGCCCCATCTATGTTACCCAATACATGCCCCGAGTCACAAGGGACGAGACATTCAAACGGGTCTTAATTATTCAATACACGAGGCAGTGAAACATCGCTGGCAGGTCGGCGGAGGGATCGGGCTTCCGATCGGGATTCTAGGCAGTCAAGTGTGTGAGTCATCTGCATCCTTTGTATGTCCCCCTCCCCCGGGCTCCCTAATTATCACCAATCCCTATCCGACTGATCAGTGTTTGTTTAGCGCTAGGCTGCTTCCTGCCGCTCCATGGGAAGGAGGAGGAAAGGCACAACTTGCCATTCACACAAAGAACATTCGCTGACGGCTAATCCATGGCAGCCCTGCCATCATCACCACCTAGATGACCTGGTACCCAGCCCAGATTATACACTTTAGAGAGCATGGATCGTGCGTTCTTGTTCCGGAGATCATTTGCTTCATGACAGATAACAAAATACGATTGTCCTGTACTGTAATTGTCCAATCATGTGTGGGCAGAAATCGCTCATGTACACAGAGAGAGAAGTGAAAACTCGCTCCGCAAAGTCAACATGATCTCCTCTTAGTAAATCAGCCCCGATGTGATCTGGCTATGGAGCGCATTCACCTAACCAAGTGAATGAGTTCGCTGTATCTGGGTTCACTTCCAATTACTAATCGTGTCATAAAAATGCACTTTATAAGAAATTCCCCTTGCCCCGATTTTGTATTCAAAGTGACCAGAGCTTCCCCCTATATACAAAGCGAACATTGGCATTGCTGGGAACCCGTATACATTGCAGGAGCCTACCGCTACAAAGACCCCTCTGATCTTTGTCGACGGCCCAGGAAGGGGTTAATGGAGCGATCGGTAGGAGCCCTCTAGCTGTGCATTAAAGCTGTCACGTCGCAGCCCGCGCTGCTTTATTGCTCTTATGAAATGGCCCATCTTGCCTAATTGCTTCCATATTCATATCTTTCCCGAGACAGCTTTTACTGTCCTCCCCTGCCGCCGGATCCCCGGGATCGTTCCGGGAACACCGCACGAGCCGATCGCCCCCCTATGTACAGCTGATGGGGGGAAGATAAGGCTTAATGAGAGCCAATAGAAAGAAGGTCACATCAAGACCATCTTAAAAGGCTGCAATAAAAGCGACCAATTAGTGTTTTACAATCGCACAGGCTCCGGCGGGGAAATGTAATTGCATGAAGTCAGCCGGCACCGGCAGGGTTAATGGAGGGGGAGGGCGGCCCCGAGGTAGTCCTCAGTAACCTCGCCGTGCCCCGGGCTTCGTGCAGGAAGGGAAATCAGCAGAGGAGTCGGCTGAACAAACAAGCGGCTGCCAGGAGTCCTTATTTGATCGCTAGAGAGCGAGACTTAACCCCTTGTGAGCCCGGACACTGACTGACGGATCAACTCCGATAGAAGGACTTGGAGGGGATCGCTCTGTGTCCTCAGGACAAGGACATCCGGAGCGCTGCGATGTGTCACATACAAAGCAGGTGACTGTCCGATGTCACAGGGCTCAGCCCTTCACTTTACTAACAAACTTTTCACATGACACGGCGAATCATGAATGAAACAAAGGTCGGCTTGTCATCGTCCCGTCCCCGCACGATGCGGGACTTTCCCTGATTTCCAAAAAGACCCATCCCCCCCCACCTTCCATCCATCCACAGATCATGGCGATCGATGACCTGCCACCGACATCTCGTACAAGACAGCGATCTCAATACAGATAGCTCCGTGCATAGGCAGGATCCTACACAACTATTTTATAAATGACACCGCGATGTGACCCGCGGGAGAGCCCCCTATTCTCAGCCGGAGATGTCTAATAAGTCCCAGCGGCTGCCAAGTCCG